AGGAGCCCCCCGGGGCACCCACGGCCCCACAGCCGTGGCAAGGGGGATCTCTCAGGGATTTTCTGGCTCAAAGCAGCCCCAGGGCACTGTGCGGTGGGGGCTCCGGTGTTCCTGCTGCACCTCCAGCTTGAATTTCCACCACCAAAAGCTGCCGGTGAGTTCAGGCCACCATTTTCCTGCCTCTCCAGTAATTTTCTGTGGCTGCAGTACGCTTCAGCCCAGCTCTCACAGGGAAGGCTCGGGGGGGCACTGAGAGTGCTTGGAAAATTACATTTAAGACGAAGAGGAAGGAGATAGGAAGCAGCTTAGCTGGCTTTGTTCTAATAGCTGTAATCACCCAAAGTGCAACCATGAGCCCTGTTTCACGGGGTGCTGCACAGCCCTGCCGCTGCAGGGGCTGCTGGCATTGGCTTTCGCCGCCTCACCAGCTTTCACTTCGTCTCCAATGGCAGCTTGCACTTTGTTCCTGCTTGGAACAAGTGTCCTCATTTGGCTTTATCATACAAAAGACTGTATTTACATAAACAGGGGAAAGGCTAGTCAGAAGGTGAAGATGAGGCGTCTTGAAGGGAAGCCGGTGGCTTAAATATCCCAAACTCGCCATGTTGCCCGGCTACGAAGTCTGAAAGGAGGAAAAAAAACCCAGGAGTGCAATTTTAACCTTTTTTTTCCTCTTCCAAGAGCGTTTTCAGACACCACCACTGCCCACAGAGAGCAGGACCCGTGCTGAGAGGAGGAGGGAATCTCTGCAAAGTAAGCTGGGCTTTTCAAAGGCTTTCTTCTTGTTTTGTTTTCCAAGAGCGGGGAGGCGGTGGAGGCGGTGACCCCACGCCGGGGAGCGCAGGGGCTCCCACTGCCCTGTGCTTTTCCCATGCTTTCTACTAGCTGCAACCTTCTCTTGTTACAGGTCACCGATGGGGATGACGGTGATTTTCTGTGCGGAATTTCTTCCGTGTTTTAGTGACATAGTGAAAGGCAGCAAATGCTCTCAGGTGGGCTCCTGTGCAGCCCTGCTCTCATGGACAAGGTTTATCTGTTGCACAAAATGTTTATTTATGAACAAGCCGTGCAGAGATCAAAGATCTTTCTACACAATGTTAATTAAACGAGTAAGGGCATATTGTTGAGGCTTGAAGAAGGAAATGAGGTTTAGCTTTGTTAAGGAAGTGCCTGGTGGAAATATTTACAGTTTTCCTCAAATTCCAGTTATTCCTATTTTCCCTAGGGCAAGAGGGCAAACCTGGCTGTTGCTTCAGACGTTCTGTAAACTGTTTTTCTTGGTTATGTGTAATGTGGGGGTTTGGTGTGATCCAGTGTGACAGTGTCAGAAGGGGAGAGGATGTGACTGTGGTGATTCGGTTCTTGCTTCACAGCATAACGTCCAACATACCATGTGCCGCCATGAGTCTTGTAGGAAACAGAAGTAAATCTGCCTGGCCTGGCATGGAGAAATGTGCATTGTAAACATCTCATTTTAGAAAAAAATGTGTGACAAAAGACCTAGTGCCGAGGAAAGGGCAAGACATAAGTTGGTTAGCAGTGGGAATTAGAGGAGATGTGTGTGTGACAGGGTTTAATCTCTTAATGAGAAAAATATATCCTGGCTGCCTGTGGTGGGGCAAGTTCAGGGACAAGCACGGCATTGCATGAGAGCTCACCCTTGCACACTGTGTCCTCTGCCTGCTGCCCCTGAGATTTGTCCAAAGGATGCTTGGGAGCTGGGATGGGACCTGTGATCGACAGCCAGTGCAAAATGCCCACAGGGCAGGAGCAAGGACATGGGGACGGGGATGGATTTGTCTCAGATAAGGGCTGGTCACCAAAGAGTGCCCTGCCAGGTTGTTTCCTTCAGTTCCCAAGCCCATTAATAGGCTCTGCTCCCTTGATTAGTTGGTGCCTGTGCGGAGCAGTAATGAGAGCCAGGCTCAAGCCATCAATTCTAGGTCAGTGGTTGTGTGCTGGGGATTTGGGATTGGGCAAGGGGAGGGAAGCTGGAGCTGGACTCCTGCATCCGAAAAGCAACGTGGAGCCTGCGTTAAGGCAGCCCTGCCTGCACCCATTGGAGGGGAAAAGCTGCCTGCACCCATGGCAGGGACTGTGCTTCCTCGTCTGCAAAGTGCCCCAAGGGCCATGCCGCACCCCATCACCCAGACGGGTCCGTGCCTGTTAGGAGGCTCATTGCCTGTTTGAGATGTGCTGTCCTGAGAGGGTAACATTGCAATAATTAGATCCATTAAGGAGCCAGAAGAAATAATGGAGTTTTAAAACTGAAAGAGACTTTGCTGTGCTCCTGAGTGGTATCCTTTGCCTCTCGCAGAGACGCTTTCCTCTCTCCCTGGCAGCAGAGATCTCATTTGGCATCGACCTGTCACCGTTTCCAGTGTTTAATCTCTGATCCTTCCCTAAATGCAGGCAGGTGAGGCTGGGAAGTGAAGAGCAGCATGGACTCGGATGTGCTGAACATGTTTGTCATTGCCGGCGGCACCCTGGCCATCCCCATCCTGGCTTTCGTAGCCTCCTTCCTCCTCTGGCCCTCAGCGCTCATCCGCATCTACTACTGGTGAGTTCATTAACCCGGCCGCTCTCATTTTAGTGCAGGGTGGAATTACTGCTGGTCCCTACACCCTCACACGCACACAGGTGCACAAAGAGCTGGTGGGCAGCAAGGCGGACAGAGAGGTGTATTCCTGCCTGTGATGGCAATAGGAACAGGTAAGGTGGGGTTTTCCAGGGGCATACCGGCTGTGTGTAGCTTTAAGCATCTCTGGGAGAAGAAAATGGCATTTTCTTACTGCTTTTTTGCTGCTGAGGTTTCTGTCTGCCAGGGCAGCCTCAGCTGGGCTGCAGGACATCTCCAAACTTTTCGGGGTTGTTTCCCCCAAGGACAGGACTGCGGCTGGGAAAAGCATCACCACTGCTGCCCGTGCCCCAGCCTGGCAGCCCCGGCAGGCTGGTGACCTCCCACTGCCTCAATGCAGCCGTCAGGCTCCCTGGGCTCACGCGTTCTCTCCTGGTTAACAGCCTGCTTGGCAGGCAGGGACTTACCTCTCACTAGTAGTTATGGACCAGGCTTTTCTCATTCTCTGCCTCTCTTCTGGGCTGGAGCGTCAGAGAAGGTGGAGTGATGCTTTTCCTTACCCCCTTGCATCTCGTCCTTTCCAATTAACAGCAGGCAGGCACTCCATCCTTCAGTCCTCGTCTGTCCCTGGAAATCAGTGATAAGCATGATCTGGCGGCTTTCCTATCTCAGTTTGTTGAAGAGGAAAGCTGGAATAATGCTCCCTTCAGAAGCCGGGACGGCGTCTCACCACCCGGCGTGGGCAGCAGCAGGCAGCGCGGCAGGCTGTCCTCACGTGCCGCCGGCAGATGGTGGCTCCTGCAGTTTTGCTCACGCAGTATTTCCAAATCAAAGTGACCTCGTGTGAGAGGAGGACGTTAACCCACCCCGGCACTCAGACGCAGCAGGGTGAAGCCTGTTTTTCTAATGGCACATTTATTATCAGCCTTTTAATCACAGCATCTGGAGGCTGACAGAGAGGAGGGAGGATGGGATGAAAACTCCAGCGACTGGATCAGCACGGGAGAGAATTTTTTTCCATTGTGCATCGCATGGGGACCTTCAAGGCCAAATGTCGCTCTGCAAAGGAGAGCAGGCGGTGTGATGGCCTCCTGCCCTGGGGATGTCGGGACTGGCACCCAGGGGCAGGTCCCAACAGTACCAGGTTTGTCAGTCAGAGGAGGTTTTTTTTTTCCTTTGGACATACGAGTGGCCAGCGGAAGCCCAGGAGGACCCTGATGGGCTCAGGTTCAGAGGAGGATCAGTGGAGAAACGCTGCCGTGCCAGAGCAGAGCGAGTGTGATCGGGGTGAAGCCTTCAGAGGGGTGCAGGCAGGGGTGGCAGGACAGGGCAAAGGAGGCGAAAGGGGCTGATGCTGGGGAGCTTTGAGGAGCCGGGTTGAGCGGGAGGTAGAGAAGAGCCTGCCTCCTTGTCCTTCAGGGTTGCAAATTAGGGGCTGAGTGAAAATGCACTGTGGGTAGGTCGGTCTGTGTTCTGCTGAGGGAGAGAGCGTGTGAGCAGAGATCAGCAGGGCTGTTTTCTTTTGAAGGGTAAGTGCCCCCATGTTTCTCTCTTCCAGTGTTTCTGGTAGCGTTGGCATCTTGCAGGAGTGACCGGGTCACTCTGTTTCATGGGCATCTCGTTTCTCAGGGCCAGCAGGCGAGAAGAGTGGGTTTGCCCTTTACTCTTCCTTTCCTATTTGCTTCTTTACGAGTTGGCTTTTTCTGGGATGAAATTGTTGTGTTTCCCCATCGGCAGAGGCAGGAGAGGGAGCAGGCAGCATGCAGCCAGCTTCACGGCACCGCTCCTGGGAGGTCCCCGGGAGGTCCCCAGGGACCCTTCTCCCACCACTCGCTGCCCCGCTCCTTCTCCTCACTGCTGGTCTGCATGTCCTCAGCCGGCGCGGCCAAGGGTCACGCAGGGTCCTGGTCGCTCCCTCCCCTGCAGTTAATGCACCTCCCTGCCAGGCGTGACGTCCAGGGCTGCCCCGCTGACCCTGGCCGCAGGGCCTGCCTGCTCTGACACCAGGGGTTAATCAGTTAGCTGCTGCCACTAAGCGCGTTAACACCTTGCGAGGGATCAGTTCAGCTTTGCACAGATTATTTTGCCTTCTGCTGAATTGATCCTTCAGGATCAGTTGCTAAAAATGTTATCATCTTCCCCATCGGTAGTTTACACCGGTGCCTTTGAGGCGAGGACTCTTAAGACACTTATTCATGGAGAAATTCACCTCTCCTTGTAGGACCAGCACAGAGCCGAGATGCTGCTTAAGTCCCACTAACTCCCTCCAAAAAGGGATTATGCTGAAAGAGGATTGCACTATGCATAAGCTTTGAGTGGGCAGAGAGCTAGGACAGCCCAGCAGTGTTGGTGACCTTGCTCTTGTGTCTCAAATAAATTCTGATATTGTGTATAAATGTATTTGTTGGTATCTTGGCCATCAGGAGTAGCCTGGTAGTTGTCCTGACAAGGATTACGTCTGAGCATAGGGGAAATGCAAAGAAAGCGTGCCTGCTCCTCTGTCTTGGACTGCACGTACACATCATGTGTCCAAAGTGTCACTGATAATCTCTGGCCAGCAGTTTCCCCTCCGGCCGGCAGTTTCACTGCGTCCTCTTTGAGCAGGCTGCAAGTGTGTGCTGGCAGGAGCTGTCTGTCTTCTTGCTTTCAGAGGAATAACCCAGGTTTCCTTGGGGTTAGCCAGGTATCTTCTGGGGTGTGTGACTGTGGATGGTCCCCTCCAGTCCTTCGCATGTGTGTAAACACATTTTTAAAGATCATCTAGTTAGCATATGGGAACCGGGTTTCTGTGGTGCTTCTGGTGACACGGTTGTTTTGGCTGGGATCGATATGCTTGTCCGTGGGGTGATGTCCCATGGCTGCAGGGCTGCAAGGTTGTGCACAGATAAACCCGTGACAGATCCGCCTTACCCATCAGAACAAGTGCCTCCCTTGGCCTGCCCATCCTGCACTCTGCCTTGCCATGTGTTCTGCCTTCCTCTCTTGAGCCTCTCTCCTTATACCAACATTTGGGTGTTTTCAGTTTTAGAGTTGTTATTTTGGCCCACTTCCATTGCCAAATCAATTTTGTGTGGTCTTGTTTGAAGTTTTTAACAGAGTGTCTCTACAAGCCATCTGCTGTGCAGCCATGAATAGTCAGCCGCCAGTACTACACGTGTAAGGGATCACATGTAAGCACAGGGTCTGGTCCAGGGGCCAGATGCTCAGAATTAGTCCCAGTTAAGGCTGTGAAAGCACTGGTGTGAGCCCAACCTAACCGGCCCTAGCAAACTGAGTTTGGACCTGTCACCTGGCTTATATTGCCGCTGAGCCCTGGTCTTGCCTTGCTCACTGGTGGTGTTCTCTCCTTGTTTCCAGGTACTGGCGCCGAGCCTTGGGCATGCAGGTTAGATATGCAAACTACGACGACTATCAGTTTTGTTATTCCTATAGAGGGAGACCTGGATACCGACCATCCATCCTGATGCTACATGGGTTCTCAGCCCACAAAGACATGTGGCTGTCTATAGTCAAGGTGGGACTCCATTTCTATCATGTTACTACTTAGTGACAGCTGATGGTCCTGGGCTTGAGGGCAGTGTGGGGACCCAACAGTTGCATGCGTGGGATGTGGTGATCGCTGTAATGTGCTGGAAATACCCTCCTTAGCTCTGTGCTTGTTGCTTGTTGGATCCCTTTTATCCCTATGACATGCAGATCTGCAGGGAAAGAACAGTATGTACCTTTCTCCTCCCTGGGAAGCGAGTCTTGGCCATGGTTGCTCATCATGTCATCCCTGGTACATGAGCTGACTTATTTGGGTGCACGAGTAGCCAAGGGCTGCTAGGAGGAGAGCAACCTGCCCTGTTCCCACCCTTGGTCACCAGTTTCCATCCCTGGGCTTCACAGAGGTTCCCCTGCACTGTAACCACCCCGGTTTGTTTCTGCAGTTCCTGCCAAAGAACCTGCACTTGGTGTGTGTTGACATGCCTGGGCACGAGGGCACAACCCGCTCGGCCTTGGACGATTACTCCATTAGCGGGCAAGCTAAAAGAATACACCAGGTAATGCCCCAGCATTGCATCACCTCTGCAGAGGGATGCAGGGATGTGAGAGATGTGGGGACATGAGGGACGCTAAGCCCCATGAGCCCTGCCTTGTGTGGCCCCACTCGCTCCCTCCCTTCCCAGGCAGCCAGAGCCACAGACCTCAAGCTTTTGAGTTGAATTTCTCTAATGACCCCACGCCGTTGCTTCCTCTCCCCTAATAACGCTCCTTCTGCTCCCCTGCCAGTTCGTGGAGTGCATCAAGCTGAACAGAAGGCCCTTTCATCTGGTTGGCACTTCCATGGGGGGAAATGTTGCCGGCGTCTATGCTGCTCAGTACCCAGAAGACATTTGCAGCCTGACCCTCATCTGTCCTGCAGGTGGGCAATGCAGAGGAGGCGAGACAGGGAGAGATCAAGCAGGAGCCAGTGCAAAAGCCCAGAGCAGCGCTGGGAGCAAAACAGTGCAAAGCATTTTGAAATAATTTGTATGTACAGTCTGAAAATCTCTGGCAGGGCATGGGACGAAATCACAGCCTTGTCCTGACTGCTCTTCTCCAGGGCTTTGGAGTTTGCCGCGCTGTGCTGTGGTTAGAGCTGGGACTAGGGAGAATGGGACAAGTCCTGCTCTGGAAGAAAATGTGTTTCCCCTTGGGGTGGCAGGCACATCCATAGCCTCTCGGTTCTGGAGGGGGAGCCCAGGCAGCAATGGGAAAAGCCTCCCCAGTCTGGCCACTTGAGAGCCTTGGTGTGCTGGAGGGCTGGGGCTTCGGGAGCTGGAGAGCTTCGTGTCCCTCATTTGGGTGCTCCCCTGTTTGGGTGCTCCAAGCGGGAAGAGCGCTTCGGGGCCAGGCGCAGGTCAGCAGGGTGTCCCTGTGCCTATGCAGAACCCCTCCATCCCCACCATCCCCTTCGCCGGGGGGCTTGGTGGACCCTGGGCATGACATGCAGCAGGAGGCATGGGGGTTTGGCAGGATTCTGCTCAGGAGGCCTTTGCTGCATCCTGTTTGTTATAGCAGCTGCTTCCCCCTCCCACGCAAGGAAAGCGGCTCCCAGATAAGAAATAAGTAATGAAGCAAAGCGAACGTTACCTGGCTACCAGGTTCTGGGGGTGGCAAGGTTCCCCCTCCTCTCTGGGAGAGGTGTTGGCTGACTTTCCAGGTGTTTCTGGATGTGAAACCTCTGTGTGGGGGCTGCAGAGAGGTTTGGGGTTAAGCTGCCAGGGGATTTCTTTCCCCACAGTGGTGCATGCTGATGGGGCTTCTGAAATTTTCTGTCCAACCCTTTTCTGTGGCAGGCTGGGCACGGGCATTAGTATTTGCATCTGCTGTCCACATAAAAATAAACACTATAATTTTTGCCAAAGTATTCATGCCTGTCTACAGGGAATACACCTTGTGTTGCGTCAGCTGGTGGGGCTCGGTGGTGCCAAGCCCTGGAGCAGGAGGAGGCTGGGGTGTCTCTGGGTGCATACTAAGGTTGCTGTATGTACAGGTTTTATTCTCCCCCTCTACTTTAATTTTTTTTTTAATGATTGAGCAGGCGGGAGGCCAGAGGCAGGGATGATGGAGGTCAATACAGCAATGCTCTGTCGCTGGGGCTGTTGAGGTCTTGCCTGGGTTTTAGCTTGTGCCCCTCTTCTCGTTCGACCCAGGCCTGCCGAGTACCATTGACAGCAAGTTCATTAAGCAGCTCCGGGAGCTGCAAGAGTCCGAACACATCAGCAGAATCCCTTTAATTCCCTCAACTCCCGAGGAGATGGCGGATATGCTGAAGCTTTGCTCCTACGTTCGCTTCAAGGTGCCACAGCAGGTGAGAAGCCCAGGCTGGCTGCGGCAGCTGGGAAAGGGGGTCCTGGGTGGGTTTGCTTCTCCCTGAGCCTGCGTGGTGGCAGCTGAGGCGATGCCAGGAGCGGAGCCAACGCTGCCATCACCCCATCACCCAGGCGGGACATCCCCGGCCCCACTCCCAGCACCTTTCCAGCACTTTCCATTCAAACCCACTTTTCCTAGCTCCCTCCAGCAGCGCCCACTGAAATTCCGCCTCCCATGAGGTGTTTGGCAGTGGGCTGGAGTGTCAAAGGGTTTTTTTTAGTAAATATGGCTGGCAGGAAGCATTAAATAACTAACTAAGGTGGCTGTTGTCTGGCCTGGAGGGGGATTGTTTGTTGCTTTTTAAGCAAAAGCAATGGATTAAACACCTTGTTGTCAGGCAAGAGGAACTTGGCGAGAGGCTCACCATTAAGCTCGTTTTCCGTAGGAATTCTGGGATAAGTAGATTGGAGAGTAAGAAAAAAGTGTAAGGTAACGCTAAGGCCTTTTTTTTTGTTGCCAAAAGAATAAAAGAAGGTTGAATAGCACAGTCATGGCTGAGGTGGGCTCCTGGCCATGGATAGCCGGACTGGGGGAGAAATTTGGGTTTGCATCATAAAAGACGAAAACACAGTTGATGAAATACATGTTACTTAAGCTTGGTTGCGACAGCCAGACGTGCTTAGGAAGGAGCTCGCGCCAGGGCCAGGCTGCGCAGGGCACGTCGGGACGGCGGGGGCACGCTCCTGGCC